TTGTATCCGGATACAAAACTCATTTTAGTATCGATACAGTGCTACCACCAGTGGCACCTAAACAGTCATTCATCTTATGCGCAGATTAGAGGAAAATGCACTTTCTGAACACTGTTTGATTGAATAATTCTGTGCACTTTCCGGTTTCAGACTTTTTTCTGTAACAGTTGCAGCTGCTGAGAATTATTTTTGTTTTTTAACTGGTTTGGCTAGTGTCATTGTTATGTGTGTAAAGCATAGCCAAGGACGGAAAACTTAATTTTAATTTTGTAAGTTTTTTATCAAGCTTGCTTAATATTGTGCACATCATACAACCTCAAAATATTGTTTATTGTATGTATTTATTTATTTATTTATTGTAATTTGTTTATTAATGAAAAAAATTCTGTTGAATTTTGGAGTCTTTGTTTTTATCCTTGTGGTATCGACATTGAGTATCGAATATTTTACCTAGTATCTGTATCGAGTTGAAAAGTTTAGTATCGTGACAACCCTAATATATATATATATATATATATATATATATATATAAATAAGCATATGTATAACTAAATCCAAGTAAAGTGGTAGTGATGTGCAAAAATAGTGCTTAAATGTCAATTACAGATGGGGGGGGTGTCTGAATCACTTGAGGGAGCCGTTATAGAGATTGATGACCATAGGCAGGAATGATTTCCTGTGGCGCTCTGTGGTGCATCTGGGTAAGAGGAGTCTTCTGCTGAAGGAGCTTGTCTGCTGGACCAGTGTGTCGTGGAGAGGATGTGAGTCATTGTCTAAGATGGACTGAAACCTGGACCGCATCCTCCTCTCTGCCACGGTGGTCAGAGTGTCCAGCTGCTCCCCCACAACATCACCGGCCCTCCTGATCAGTTTGTTCAGTCTGTTGTTGTCAGCGACCCTCAGCCCACTGCCCCAGCATGTGGCAGCAAAGAAGAGCGTGCTAGCAACAACTGACTCATAAAACATCCTCAGCATCGCCCCACAGATATTAAAGGACCTTAACATCCTCAGGAAGAATAGTCGGCTTTGGCCTTTTTTTTTTAGACTGCCTCAGTGTTTCTAGTCCAGTCCAACTTATTGGTAAAGTACACTCCCAGGTACTTATACTCCTCCACAGTGTCAACAGGAACCCCCTGGGTGGGAACGGGGGTCACAGGTGTTTTTGTCCTCCTCAGATGATGACTGTGGAGTTAAGGTCCCAACCAATACCCATATCAATCTTAAGAGGTGTTAGAAACCCCATAACCATTGTTTACTGGAAGAAAACATTGTCAGTCCTGCAACCAGTGGATCAATTCTGGACCGAAGAAGGAGGGTAATGTAAAGACTACAGCACTCTGGATGCAAAGAATAGATTATCCTGCTGGGTCAATCTGACATGAGCTATAAAACATATGAGTAGTATTTTATGCTGTGGCTGATTTTATCACAAACAATTCACTTTAGTTTATCTATGTAGCTCAAATTCGTAAGAGCTGTCCTCTCTCAAGGCTATCACGCTACAAAACTGCCCATTAAAATAAAACATACAGATTCATAATCTGATAACAGATTATCATTCATGTTGGTTAAAGTTTTCTATTGACTGAAACTTTGTAGATTACAACAGCTTACTGACACAGTATTCCTCTTGGATGAGTATGTAGCAACAGTGGACAGTTGCTTCATTTTGTCAATGACTTTGCAGGAATCCATCTTAATGTAGAAAGATACACGGTCTTTACACGCAGAACCCTACACCAGAATCAGCCATAGTAAGCAATGAAATCCAAAACTACGATCCATTAAAGGCCAAATGCATCACAAAGACCAAAGGGAAGATGTGAAATACTTAGACAATGGAAACAGGAAATTCTAGATTCAGATCTGCAAATCCAGGTTTTCTGTTAAAGGTCTCAATGGCAGTTGCAACTGGTGGTGCTATGTTTTCAGTTAAATTTCAATTAAATATATTTATATAACGCCAATTCACAACACATGTCATCTCAAGGTATTTTAGAGAGACAGTTCAACCAGATCATCCAGTCAGATTGATTCAGGTTTTCTATCAAAGGAAAACCAGCTGATTGCATCGACTCATTGACTCAAATACAATCCCTCACACTAAGCATGCTTGTAGCGACAGTGGAGAGGACAAGCTCCCTTTTAACAGGAAGAAACCCACAGCAGAACCAGGCTCAGTGGGAGCGGCCATCTGCTGAGGCCAACTGGAGTTCAAGGAGACAGAAGCAGAGAAAAAAAAGCAGCTGTAAGAGGCGGCCTGGTCCAGGAATCACACAGACAAGCTCTGAGCCAGCTCCCATGTCAGAGGATGAAAGAGAGCACATGCAGTTAGTCGCACTCAGCAAACTAGACTAAACTGAAAATGATAAATTATAGACTTTCATAAATCAGTCCAGCTTTGGGATACGGCCATTTAAAATTAGTCTTTCCATAAACAGGCCAGCTATAGCACTGTAAATGTCTGTCTGTGAGCCTTTTCCCAGGTGATACCTAAAGCCTTCTGCAAAAAAATTTAGCATGTTGATGGACCAGCTCAGATTTAAACATCAATTTATTTCCACAACAGGTTTAAATTGGAAGGCAACCAGACTTCAGCTCCATTTTTTTTAAAGATGTTTGGATACCTATGCAGGAGTCTTTATAAACTCTGTCTACAGAGCAATCTTGTAGTTAAAGGGTTGTTTTTAAGCAGCGTGGGTTTTTTTTTAATTGAACTGACCAGAACGGATCATATTGCTAAAGGTTCCAGGTCCAGGGTAACAACCCACCATAAGACGGAGATTTTTAACCTGGTCAGTGAGGGGTGAAGAACACTATTCTTATAAGAACTGAAAAAACCTCTTTGTTTGTTTTTAATTTGCCTGCATAAAATCCTCACATTTGATGAGCAAAAAAGGCCTTGCTAGATATAAATATACAGATTATCATACAGTGCATTTTGCTCTTAATAGTAGCAACTGACAATGTTTTCATTTTTTTCCTTTACCAGTTCTGAGATCCACCATTTAACTTAATAACGTTACATTTTCAGAGTTACTATATAGATACGTTTTCCTCTATTCAAATGAAGGGATATTCCCCAATGTCTCTTATCCAGGAAACTAAAGAGAATGTAATACAATGTTAAATAACCAGTAACTGTCATATGTGTCAAATATTCCACCTAATCTTATCAGATGCCCATCCTGACTGAGGAATGCGGCCTCTCTGGAAGGTCTAATTTCAGGCTTTGTTCTATTTGACAGCAGTGATAACAACTTTATCTTTTGTTTAGCCACCATTTATTTCATATATTGTGCCCTTTTATTCCTTCAATATTATCATCAACATAATGATGAGTTTGTTTGATAAACATGTTTTATGCTTCCAATGAAGATTTGAGAATCATATTTCATTACTTGGCTTTATCTGCTAAGCATTTTATTTAGTTTTTCCTCTGGTCTTTAACCAGAGTGCTGTATGCGCATATACTCCAAATGACATGATAGTTGTTTTTATTAAGTTGCTGCCTGAGAGATTGTTATTTTATTACAAAGGGGAAGACTATGTAATTCTGTTTTTTTTTTTGTTCTTTCACCATTTATTTCTGGAGAGTTTCTATGCAACTGGATTTTATGACCAAACCACATTTGTCTATATTTTATGGAAGTAAATCTGTGTCACTTGGATTCGAATTAAAAATGCCACTGAAATGTAAATGTTGTATGTTTGTACTTACTGTTTCAGTGTTAAAATATATTCAGAATACATTTTTGACCTAAAAAAAATTCATTGTCATTATTTCTACACAGTTGAAATTTCATTTGTTATTTTCTCTTCAAGCTAAAAATTCACATTACTATTTCAAAGCGATTACATTTTCAATACTTATTTTTCAGTTTAATATTTGAGTGTTAAAAAAATCTGCATATAAAAAAATTCAACCTTAATATTTTCAGCCTCCTGAACTGGCTCTATTTCACTGTCTTAAATTCGGCGTCTAAATTCAGTGTGAAAAGGGAAGGGTTACTTCAGGTCACAGACATAAGCAATGGATTGTGGCGTCCAACAACCAGCCAATCCTGTTACGTTTTCTTAGTCACGTGACGTGACGCTTGTGGCGCTCATACTGAAGGAAAACCAGCATGACGGAGCCGGTCATACAAGCTAACGCTAACTCAACTACAGAAAAATGAAAGTAATAAACTCACCGGTCAAAAATGTGTTCTGAATATATTTTAACACTGAAAAGGTAAGTACAAACATACAACATTTAAATTTCAGTGGCATTTTTAATTCAAATCCAAGCGACACAGATTTACTTCCATATTTCACCATACGGGTGCATTTCTAGTGTTGAAGTTTTTTCCTCACCAGTTCATTGACCTCTTCATGCACTTTGGAAATAGGAGAAGTTGTGCCATCAATTTTGGATCTCTATATATTTTAATGTTCGGCACATTTGCGAGTTAGAAAATCAACATGTGCTAATCCAATGTTGTTGTTGTTTTACAATAACACCAACCAGTATAAGTTGGGGAGGCTTTAGGTCTGATTCTTCTCATTTTGGGGAATGACAGTCAAAATTATACATTTTCCGAAACATAACAAGGATACAAGATATGGCAGTGTGTTCCATGTCACAGGCAAACTTAGGGGATTACTGATTTTACATAGTCTGTACATTTTGACCAGATCTTGAAAAAAAAGATTCATTTTGCCCGCTAACAGAGAATGATAGTTTCTCCAGAATATAAATCTCCTGTGTATAAATCTCATCCACTGTAGGTGCTTCAGGTTGTAGCGTCTTTGTGCTTGCTGTAAAATTTTTTATCCGACAATTATCAAACGAAATAACACCTAGATAAAGATCTTCACATTTCCAGGGGATTCACTCACTAAAAACGATATTTTAGTGATTACCTATTTGCCCCAAAATAGTTTAACCACTGGACAGAAAAGAGGGCAATAATTTGCCTCATCTGTCTGCAACAGCCATCTGTGTTTATCAGGTACTTTGTCTGAGCAGGAGTTTCAAAATACCCAAGATTGTTTTTCCAACTGAACTCCATCGATATGATTGGAGAACGAGGTACAGTCCAGAGCAGAAGGTGGCGGTACTGCGACCAAAGCCAACCACCAGTAGTAAACAAGAAGAAGAAGAAGCGAAGCAGCCTAACCAGGTGTAGCAGAAAAAAAATCAGTTGTTGTGGAGAATTGTGTGGGTATGGCGAGTGGGAAAGGACAGGAGTTGGAAGACGCAGCAGCACTTTATAGGTCTGCTGTATGGGACCACTTTGCATTTAGAGTGACCTACAATGACGGTGGAAAGAAAGTTGTGGATAAAAGTGCAACAGTGTTTTGTTTATGCTAACAGCAACACGACCAACATGTCATGCTAACCCCGAAAACCCACATACTCCGTCAGCGCTCCGCTCCGCCCCGCTGCGCTCCAGACCGCCTGCACAAAGCAAAGCCTACAGCCTCCGCTGTGGCTCCCGTCCGCTCCGCTCCAAGTTCCTTGTAGATCGTAGAGGGCATGCGCGAGATGATTAAATTCAAAGCAGCAAAACATGCGGAAATGATCCATGGTTTCCACGGATCATTAAAAATAATTACAATTCATTAATTTTTTGGGATTTTTTTCATTAATTTTTTTTTTCCACTAATTTTTATACATTTTTTGGTGTAACAATAAACATATACCGAACCGAACCGAAAACCATGACCACGAAACCGTGAACCGAACCGAACCGTTCAACCCCTATTGAATACCCTTGTATAGTCTAGAAACAACTTTCTTTGCATGAACCTTATCTTAACAGACAAAAACACATAATAAATTCTGCTTTAGCCATTTAGAAGTACATAGAGAGTACGTTTAGAGTCACCACTAATAATTAGAGTGAGAAAGTATCATGAACTACATGAAAGAGACGAACTTGACCTTTTGCTTGTAAGTGCAAAAATATCTTTATAGACAGATGCGTCTCTGGTAGAAACTCCCAGTTGCTTAATTCTGGACATTATCGGTTTAAATTTAACTGTCTATTTACCCATTTCATATTCCATTAAAGTTAACCCAATATTAGGTAGCTTACACATTTTATTGAGGGGTAGGTTTACTGAAACTCTTGTTATATTTGATATTTAGCAATATTTGCGTCACAGTTGATGCTGCCAAGAGAAAGTTATAATAATGAGTAGGGTTTTAACGATCGACCGTTTAATCGATGGATCAATATAAAATATATCAGAAAAATTCCCCACTTTCGATTACAGTTGAAACAGACCTTGTGGCGACATGGATAAAATTTTGATTTCAAAATTGGGGGGGAGGCAAGTATCTTTTAAATATAACTAACTTCAGGGTGTCTAACCCTCCAATCACAGACCTGAAGCAGTTTGTTCAGATGTTTGTAAAGTGAGCTTCTCAGGCGTGACAGCGGTGACAGCCAATCACACAAGAAAAGACAGTGGGCCAATCAGGAGCTTGTGGGCGGTCTAAACTCAGGGGAAGTGGGCTTCAGTTTGAGCTGCGGTTTCCGCTTGATCCTAGTGCTCACCGGATATCTGTGCTCTAAAACTTAACATTACTTTTGGACAGTAAAAAGTGCAGACCAAAATGGATGTTTGAAAAAATGCAGGGGACATGTCTCCCGTCTCCCCCAAAAGAAATTACGTCCATGAATGGGGAGAATACTTTGTTATTTTGACACGTTGTGCGTGGAAAAATATATACTTTGTTTCTGCATCGAAAAACAAGAATATGTAAAAAGATCACTTTGAGTGGTGCTAGAAAATGTGTACTATGTGTAATACAGAGGCATAGCCAGAAAATTTTAATAAGGGTGGCCAAGCAATAACCAATGTACACTGAGGGGTGGCCAAAAGTAGATAGTCATTAATCTGCATAAAATTAATATTTACAAGCACTAATATCTACATAAATTGATCATTTAATAAGTTTTTATTAAAATTGTTATTTATTTAGGATTTCACTGAAGAATCCTAGATGACTTACAGAGACACATCATTCTCTCTTTACCCCATAAAACCCAAAATCTAGTTCTGAAAAGAGCAGGAATTCTGAAGAATTAATCATCTTTAATCTTACTATATTGGTGTTCATAATTAATCACAGCGTTTTTGCTGTCAAGTAACTGTTAACATATTTATTTAGTCATTTTGTATACGGGAGTGTATACAAAAAGAAGTTTTGTTTAAAACAGCTATAGACAATTTAATTTTTTGAAGTGCAGCCTTGAAAACAGTAATAAATACATTAAAAAAGTAATATAAACATATGACTGTATATATATATATATATATATATATATATATTATAAATAAAATAATTAATTTTACACATCATTCAGCAGTCTAATGGCAGTGGGGAATATATATATATATATATATATATATATAAATAGAAATGTTTTGCCACATCTGTATTAGAGGGAAATAAATGGTAGGGGTGTCCCCCCTTGGCCCCCCATCTAGCTCCACCCCTGCTGTAATATGGCAAAGAAAGTAAGAACTTTTAAAATCATGTCTCTTTCATGCAGTGACAGTAATTACCTGTAGTTTACGGTTTAAAACTAGCATTGTTACACATCGAAAGATAACCAAGTATTCTAAACTAGAACAATGGTCCACATAATAATTACTTATTTTAATGTTTAGCCTTATCCAAATAAAATGCGATATCCGGTGGTCTAATTGTTATCACACAGTTCCCGATTAACAGTCCGCCTTTTTCTGTTTATCTCTAGTTTGTTCCACATTGAGTCTCTCAGTAATACTGTGAACTATTTTAAAATCGAGTTTTATTTGCTGCAGTTCTGTATTGTGACGTTCTTACCAAGCAGGAGCTAGCAGTGTGACCCGAAGCTACAGCAGGCACACCCTGCTGCTGCTGCTGCTCTCTAACTGCATCCTCTCTTACCTCCTTTTTGTCCTGGAGACACTCCAGCACCGCCAGGTTGTTGTTCCATGAATGTTTGGGGCAGCGCCGGGTCAGGTCATCCCTACACACCGCCTCATCAGACAGCTTCCACCCGGTAGAACGTCTCCGTGTAACCAAGGCCCCTGCAGCCGGGTTCCTCTCAGCGGCTCCTGGGTTCAGCCCGGCTCCCAGACCCGCGGCGGAGTTTGCTGGTTTATCGGCGTTTGCACCCGCTCTGCCACCGAGGTCGGCGTTGTCTAGTCGAAGTTGGTGGGCATATGAAAAGAGGGACATAACCAGCAAAATCAGAGGAACACGTATACAGTCCGCCATTTTCACCGAGCTACTCATCCCAGTGAGACGTTCAGGAACACTCGGAAAGATGGCACTATGACGTAGACGGCTTTGCTTGTGACATCCATAGATATATCTATGGTGACATCTACATGAGCTTTTTTTTTTTTTTTTTTTTTTTTTTAATCCGGTTTAGCATTTTTATCTCGTGTGTGAAAGTGAATGGAACCTTACTTAGTTTTTAGATTTTATATTAAAACTTTTTTTTTTAGTTCAGTTATAGCGCCAATTCACAACACACATCATCTCAAGGCACTTTACAGTTTACCAGATCATACAGTCAAATTGATTCAAAGTTTTCTATCTAAGGAAAACCAGTTGATTGCATGGACTCATTGACTCGAAGGCAATCCCTCACACTAAGCATGCTTGTAGCGACAGTGGAGTGGGAAAAACTCCCTTTTAACTGGAAGAAACCTCCAGCAGAACCAGACTCAGTGTGAGCGGCCATCTGCAGAGGCCCACTGGAGTTCAAGGAGACAGAAGCAGAAATACAAAAAGCGGCTGTAAGAGGCGGCCTGCTCCAGGAATCACACAGGCGAGCTCTGAGCCAGCTCCCATGTCAGAGGATGAAGAGAGCACATCCAGCCAGTCACAGTCAGAGAAACAGGACTACACTGAAAAACAGGCAGATCACCAACATCTATAAACAAGGGTGTTGATGGCAGCAGCACATGATATTTCTCTCCAGGGTGGTGTCACAGCCAAACAGGAACAGATGTTTTAAATATTAAGTATGCCTGAAAGTGCTAAGAAATCACCCCCAAAAAAGTTTTTTTCTCTTCTTTTTTTATTGAACAAAAGCATTAATTTACATTTTCAGGTAGGAATCTCCACCTTTCTTACAAAAAAGAGAAAATAACAGTTATATACAGGAGATCAACTTAACTTGTGCAAGGCAACAGCAATAAGTAAATAAATAAATAGGCAGTAATATTACAACCAGTGGAAACATACAAAACTTGAAAAAGAATTAAATTAAAATAAAAGAGACAAACTCATTCTGCAACAAGACAGTTCCTTGCATCATGTTAACTTTAGTGTTTTGTTGAGTCAAAAAACAGAAATTTTGACATCACTACATAGTTTTTTGTATATGTCCATATTTGTCGGCTAAGAAATTTTGAGTTCGTTTCTGAAATTTAATAATGAAGGTTTTTGATTTTGCCATTTACATACATGTATATGATATCTTCCCATACTTATAACAATATTGACCATGTCAGATAAATCCTTCGCAATGTCATTCTTGTATGTTAATATATGATTTATCTCAGAATGCCTAATGACATTTACATTGTTTAACAAAATGATCCACTTTTGTTTTAACATTTTTCTCCCTTTACTTGTTAGTTAAAGTAAAACAACATTTTTTTAAAAACCCACCAGATTTGAACGAACCTAAACGAAGGGGTTCCCAAATCGAAATATCATCCAAACAATTGGTTTACAAACGTATATATGAAATTAACCAGTTATTATTTTCTGTGTAGATCTCAAGACTCAGTATTGGTTGATCAAGGACCCCCATTGGGGTTATGACCCCAGCTTTAGGAACCAGTGATCTAAATTCTCAGTGGGATTATAATCATCATATTTATATAAGAACCTAATAGATTTATCAAAGAGTTTTCCTGCCAATATCAACTTTTTCAATTTGAGAGCAGGATTTTCTTTACTTGCACTCAAAACTCCTAATGCTCACATTCAAAACTTCTGCTTTCTTCATTCTCTTCTCCATCAAATCTTTCCCTGATCTAATGCTTCTTCACAGATATTTATTCTCATCTAGTTTACTTTCTTCTCCTGCTTGTAGGATGTATTTCTCTCTCTCACCCTGGAGTCAGATCGTTGCCTAGCAACCTTTCCAGCCAATAGAACGACAGCATCAGAAGGGGTGCGCTTGTTTTTCTCTGTGGAGTTTGCCTGTTACTGCTTAGTGATAATAAAATTACTTTAAAATATAAGTTCTGGTAAAATAAAAAGCTGAAAACACAAACAATTAGAAAGAAAAATATATAAAAACCTAAACATTTATAAGTGGCGATTTCAAAATCAACAATGAAAAGTCACCTAATTTTCTGTTAGAGGCAGAATTACCATCTGCCCTGACTAAAATACTATGAAAGAGGGAATTTTATGGTAAAAAAAAAAAAGTCACAACCATAAGAGCCATAAGGCAACTATGAGAAGAAAAAAAACATAGAGAACAAAAAGTCAGAAATGCAACCAACATATAATGCAGAATTGAAAAATAAAAGTAGGATTAAGCAGAATGATTAAAAAAAGGTGGTCTCTATGTCCTCCAAAAGCCCAACCCTATTGCTGCATAACTATAGAGAAAACTCAAGCTTTTTATTAGTTATTATCAATACACTCAGCTGCTCACTGATATCTCAGACGAGAATTCAACATAGCAAACTTAGTAAAAATGCTATCTATTAATATGTGGTGTAATATTGCTTGGATTTGTAAAATATGTGGATAAACTCAAGCGATACATGACATGAAATGAATTAAATTGTGATGCACATCATTCTGGTGATGAAAATATGATGGTGAGGAAACGTAATCTAAGGTATTGTGGACTTTGAAAAAAGTCTGGGCTGTAGGTCTTTTGGTATTTATGTGATAGCTCATAGTAATGGCTCATCAGAGGAATTAAATAACATTGCGTTTTTTATTGCTTACGTTGAAGTCAATTTTTGATTAAGGCTTAACCCTGTAATGCCAAATGTATCATATTTGATACATACGGTTTCTGAAATGTTTTGCATCTGACACCTTTTGCATAATTTAATGGTAAAAACTTTGCTCAAAATCCTATTGTACACAATCAGATATACCTGATGACAGAGGGCAGAAGACTACACAAAAATAATCTTGACTTATCGCATAGTAATAAATTATTAATATGAAAAATGTATTTCTTGTTTTTCTTTTTACATATTTCGTTAAAAGGCCAAATAAGGACTTCAAACCAAAAAAGTTATTTTCTGTTTTGTTTTATTCTTGGATCGGGCTTTAAAGGGTTAATATGGACCTGGACTTTACTTGACATCTATAGAAAGACAGGTAAAAGGTGCAGGGAGCGGCATCCTCTGATTTGGCTCAGGTTTAACCCATAGAAAGCAGATAAGTCAAGGTTAGAGGTAGAGGATTAAATACCTGAGGTGTAGAAGAGAAGCTTTGCATAAAAGCAGGGCCAGATATCCATTTGTATGGAGGCAAGAGAAGGACGCTGAGATTGTAGAGTTTGCTTTCCAACCTCTTCTTGGATTCCTCCTTTCTTTTGATAAGTTACTTCATATTTCTCAATAACTCCCCGTGTCCCTTCATAAAGGCTATATTAGTAGTTCTTTCGGATAACTTGTGATCCATGGTTATTATTTGGGAAGCATTTCACAGTTCTAGTAAGGATGGTGCTGTAAAAACATAAGTTTATATATTCAGTCACACTCATTTTATTGATGTTCTCCTTATGGAAATGGCAGAGTTTGTAGTCTCAAAAGGTTGCAGGGCTTCAGGTTACTGGTACTTGGACCATCTTCTTATAGTTCTTTTCCCTTGGCATGACTCAAATATTGTTTTGGATTTAAAATTTAATGTAGAGGTAACAACTTCTACTGGGGTCAAAGGTAGATTTGGGTTTTTTCCACTTGTAAACAAAAAGACACTTCACAGGAGTACTATGTGGAAGAGAGGCTTTTAGGGGGAAGGCTTGTAGATATCGCCAGGATGAGATTTGATTTCACTGAGACGCCAGTAATCAACCTGCGTTGAAATGCTGGTGTCAACGCAGGCTGACACCAGCGTACTGGTGTGCATATTGATTATGGGCAAATTACTTATGGATAATTAGAAACAGTTGCAGTTCCAACAGAATATGAAGTTCCAAGAAATCGCCTCACCCAGAGAGAGAAAAAGGTTAAAATTAGTTTAAAGGCAAATGGTTTAAACTTTAAATTAATCTAAGTGATAATGGTGGTATCAATAATGTATTTTGATTTTCAACCCCTTTTAAAGAAAGGACAACTCCAAACCCTTATGGGAAATTAATAACTGATAGCTAATAACTAAATTATTAATGTAAGTAAAGCATAAAATAATACACTGGCTTTTTTTTTAATCAATCAACAAACTGGAGGAATTAATCAAATTAAATTTGGAGGAAAGCAGTGTTTTTTTTAATTGGGTAAGAAAAAAATATATATATTTTTAAAGGTTCCTGAAGGACTAAATGGAGTGACAAATTTTTTCTCCTCTACTGAAGTCTTCTTAATGAGGAAAAGTTTAAAAAAAAACTTTATTTTTATTCATTTCAGACATCTGAAAAACCTTCCTTCCACTAACCATTTACTTTTCCCCCTTTCTCCTTGCAGGATTTAGCCCTGGAAGGGCTGCTGCAGTATTCTGATTCTTTGGTCAGATGTGACTAAGAGATTTCCTCTTTTATCCGAGGTTGGGTTACAGCAGAATAGTAACTGTTTTGCTGTTTATTGCCTAGAGGTAAATCACCGGCAGACAAATGGACTGAAAAGCAGCCATTTTACCATTGACACAGTTACAGGATGCAAAGATGGGGAGGGTTCCAGGAATTCTCCTGAACCCTGAAAAATTTGCAAGCAATAATTGGGAAGGTTGATCTCTTATATTTTGACCATTTCATTTGTGTTTGTTTGACGTCCGTCTTTCCTATTGTCTGTAGTTTGAGTGGATATCTGTGGTCCATTAATGGAATGACACTTTAGCTATTTTTGTCATGGGAAAATAGAGGTGAGCAAATAGTTAAGGTTGAAGTGTATAACAGGAGTTTCCATGGCTCATTATTTCTCCTGATCTGTTTTAAAAACAAACAGCAGGAGGTGGAATGTGAACGGTTACCAACATGATACTGGTAAACTCTCGGGGCAAATGATATGAAACCAAGTAAAAACAGTTCAGTATCTGGACTGCAGTGATAAATCTTCACAACAACATGTCCTGGATGACAACATATGTTTTTCACAAGCACTACAAATCCAACTCCATTGAGCTTTCCAGTCTTCTTAACCTCTGTCTGATCGTACGGTGCGAAAGCTAAGCAGAGATGCACCGGAGATATGATCCTGAAGAAGCAGGTCAGTAAAACCCATAATGGTGCATTTCTGATATTCTGGTTAGAGCTTGGAGTTCTTCTCATTTTTTCCTAAACATCTAAAATTGTCCATTATGATTGATAGAAGGGACATCCTATATTTCCTGCTCCTCATCCCAGCGGCTCCTTCTCGAATCTGCTGCTACTTCTAGAAGTAGCTGAAGTATTATTCAAGCGTTAGAAATACGAATGTCCTACTCATAGGTGTTAAAAGACTAAAACACCCTACTACTCCTATTAACTCTTCCCTTTGCAGAAACATAGATTGTTCTCCTGGAATAATGTGTTTTATTGTTCTATGTACTAGATTTTCTTAAAAATACATACATATTCGAAATTATTTACATATTGCTTCATATAGGCTGAGGTTTTATGCGATGGCTCTTATACAAAATAAAAAAGTAATCAGAACTAAAACGTTATGTTGATGGGCTTGGCAGGACTGACTGGATCCTGAAATTCACATCAACTATTGTCCACATTTCATGTCACGCCCTCTAACACACTTCACAAAGCACATAAAATCAGACCATTCCAAAAACCAGAATAAAAAAGGCAATTTTTATTAACTCCAAAGTTGTACAAAACCAGCTGGTAAGAAATATATATATATATATAACTTTACCAAAAATAGAAATTAGGTTTATAACATTAGAATAGTTGGCCACATAAAGTTCCACTGTGAGAAGTTAACCCATTTAATTGAAACATATAGAAAAAGCAGAAAAATAAACGTTTGTTAATGCAATATAAATGAACTGATAAAGACTTACTGGTTGATCCATTACAAGGGGGATGTAGCAGAATTTGTTGTGACTTATGATGAACATGTCTTAGCTTTTATGTTCCTATAGTTAGGTGGGCCTGACGGTAAGCATAATTTACAGACCTGCAGTGCAAATGTTTTCCCTTAACAGACCCACATGATAAAAGCATCACAGGTGTCTATGCAGCTAAAACAGAACTCTGCAGAGTTTTACTGGAGGATTGGCTTTCTAAGAAATCACAACGACCTTTATGTAAACACAATCTTATAACATCCATCCTGGAATAAAAATAGGAGCCAAGTTATTCAACTTGGTCAATTCGGTTGTTGGTTGAAGATAATATTTAGCAGATTTTAATGTCTGCTATTCTTATGAGATCTAATTCCTTGTGATCTGCACCTTAAACACAGCAAAGATGTCCTTCAATTCCATTTGTAAAGTTTCAGCATCTTCTCTGTAAGCGAAGCCAGATAGTTTTCCCCATTTACAGAAAAGGGGCTAATGTCCAACACTGGGAGGTCAGCTGGAAGCTGCTGAAGCAGAGTGCCACTTCCTGCATCCCACACCTGAAAAGAAGCACAACCATGAATGATGCAAAGCATAACACCACATTAAAACAATCAGCCAGTAGAGTTTGAACAGGACAGACCCAAATGATGACAATAGATCAGCCATATCATACAGGGTAGTTCTATTTTATGTAAATTATAATTTTCTAAAATGGAACTCTGTTTCCTCTGTCGTTCCATTTTGTAAAATGGAACGACAGCAGTGTTATTTAAAAAGTCCTGATTGAACAGAAAGTAAAGGCATATTATACAATAAGTTTAATCAAATCACACAAACATCAGTTAAAATGTTTTCAACCCAAGAACACCAAGAAGATGGAACGGAGTCACTGACAGGTGACTATTTTGCCAAAAGTCAACATTTAGAGATCAACGGACGCATCTGCTCTAACAAGCCAAAACAACTCTGTTTACATTCGATAAGTAAGTAAGTAATGTTTATTTATATAGCACCTTTCACAGACGGAGTTCACAAAATGCCTCACAAAAATACAATACAAATAAAAATACATTTACCATCACAGAAGACATGGTTATAAAAAAAATTAAAATGTTTTCTTAAACAAGTAGGTTTTCAGTTCAGCCTTAAAAAACATCAACAGAATCAAGTTAGCGCAAGGAAAGAGAAAGATCATTCCAGAGCGCCGGGGCGTCTGCCTGAAAGGAGCAATCTCACCTGGTCCTGGACCAACAATATGGTGCAGCACTGGTAAGAGGGATTCAGACAGATAAGAGTGAAACCATACAGCACACAGACTACGCCCTGGCTTCCTTACATTGCTCTCCATTGTTTACTTTCCTGATTTCTGTCGCAATGGTGACATCATCGACGCTAAAGGGCGGATTATACTTCTGCAACTGCACACATCAAATGTCGCTTGTGTCTGGTTGCGAACCAGTTTTGCTAGAATGCTTCTGCAATGTCACTCTGGAATGTCTAGGGATGCACAGCAGTTTCCCGCCAAAGCGCAAGGGGGAGCCTATACAAAAACTTGCGAGAACTTTGGAGGATGGTCATGAGAACTTCTTCAGCGGCATTGGTGGGTGTGTTTATTTTCCAAAACATGTCTGAGGCATCGTACAAGTGGTTGTACCTCCGAACCTCCTTGACAGGAATTTTTTTGAGGTGCTCGACGACGGCTGCAGAGCCTCTGTGCGGGGGGAGTGGTCGCGCACAGAGACAGATTTGACGGTTGCAGAGGCTATGTGTCAGAATTATAAATTGGCCTTAAAGGGATAGTTCGGGATTTTTGACATGAATCTGTATGGCATCCCCATCACCAGTGTCATGCAATCACACTGACTTA